ATTTTTTAATATACGTACAACTGTAATGACCATGTATTATCGAATTTATATAATTAACCAAAGAAATATATCTAGAAATATATTTTATAAATACTAATCAAATATAGAATGTTAACCAACCAATCCACCTGTCTAATAAATATTTAATTGACCTCCACACTCGTTCCTTCTCAAGAAAATCGCACAGTCTCATCTCAGGCCATTGAAATTCGCATCTTAGGCCTGAGTAAGAGCGGCGTACAACCCAGTACAACCGTTGACCCGTTCGCCGGACCCGACATATCTCATTCGGCTCTCGCATACACACGCCCGTTTCTCGTAAGTGTGTATCGCGAAATAAAAAAAAACCAACTGGTGTTACGATCCGTCCATGCCCGTTTCCAGCAGCCATAACGTAACAATGACATTAAAATGAATTGGTATGAATTTAAGAATTGAGATTTCAATTCAAAAAATACTCACTTGTAAAAATTTACAAGTTGAATTCGTTACATGTGTATATATATATATACACGTACAGTTTCCGCTTAACATCCTGGAAACGGCTCGTAAGGTCTTATATATTTCTTGATTTTAATTACATTAAAAAACTTAGGTGCAGTTCCGAAAATCTGAAACCCGATTTTTCTGTCGATTGGTATACTACTGTACTTTGGTGCGCTGCTTACAAATATGACAAATAACGAAAATTACTGACAAAGTCATTTTTATAGTCAAAACTCAAACTAAAAAATTATTACGTTTTTCAACATTATTTTGTTAACTATTCATGTAACAAAAATCGTTTCAAATAAAAGTTGTAGCTCTTAAAAAAATACATCATTTATGTTCTATGCATTTTTTGCATAGAACATAAATGATTTTGGAAAAAAAGAGATAATAGGAATATAGAAAAGACCTCTCGGTAAAGTTGCACATTAGCTATTCCCTCTTTGATCTTTATGAAACTTGGTATCTTTATGTAATTTTATTCGCTAAAAACGAATGTAAAAAAATTTTTGTTGGACATAATCAATCCGCCATCTTAAAAAAAAACATGTAAAAAGGCGTTTTTCACGATTATCCGAAAAAAGCGGAGGGGAAGAGGTAACCCGAGAAAAAATGGATTAGATCTAAGGTAAATCTAACAAGATAAAAAAAAAAGGAAAAATAGATCTAATTAAATCTAAATTAAATCTAAATAGATATAAGGTAGATATAAATAAGTATAAGTATAAATCTAAATAGATATAAGTAAATCTATGTAAATTTACACTTTTAATTATTATTAAATTTACTTTTGATCTACTCACAAGGGGAGGTTGTATCAATCGATTTGGACGAAATTTATAGGATCAATAGATGACTATGTGCAGTATTGCAGGGTAAAGTAATAAAACGCACTACTCAAGCATTCGCGAGAAAATCGAATTTGAAAATTTTGAGTTACTTTATAAGGATATTAAACAGATCACTTAATCGAAGAGCGCGTAACGTAGCGGTAGCGTACTAGGTTAGTAGTGTCGATGCTGCTGGTTAGAGTCTCGATATACTTTTTTTTTCAAAATTGTACAGTATAATCTAAATGTAAGTAATACGTTTTTTATTTATTTATTGTCAAGTTATAAAAGTGCATTGTTTTGCATAAAAAATTCGTGATTTAAAACATATGGTTAAAAATAAATAGATTAATACTAATTACTAATTGTGTTCATAAAAAGCGGATAAATAAGTGTACGCAACATGTAAAAATATGTGCAACATGTTTTAAAGCATATTCTTACGTTTACAAGAAGCGACAGGAGTCGTTCGGTCCAAAAGTACAATGTTGAGATCGGGAAGATAAAGGACTTGGTGATGAATAAGATTCTTTTATAAAAAACTGGCGTAGTTTATTACTACCAAGTTTACAAATTACTGTACAATTACGCACGCTTATACTGACACTTAGCCGTTGCTATACTGCGGTAAACTCTCCGGATGGACTCGGAGCCACACAGTATTCAACAGCTACTCACGATCTGCCTGTCGTTGCTCGCGATCGATCTTTTAAAGGAATCGATCGCGATCACTCAGCAGTTTAGCGACCTAATTACTACTGCACGTAGGCCGCTGACGTTGCGTGCTGTGTCTGTACCATACTTAACATTACGCTTAACAAGCAGATTTCATTTTCAAAGAAATGCTGCTTGTTACCCTTTTGAACCAAAACCGGGTCGATTGAGCAATGATGCGTACTTACCGCAATTGCTCAATAGCCCGAACGAAACTAAACTAAATTTCACAACAACAACAAGCTATCGATAAATTTTCTACTATACATACAAATGTCGTGGTAACATCTTCGAAGTCCGGAAAACTTACAACAAATCTGTATACGAGGTGTAATAAAAAAATAAGGTAACTTTTCATTTTTATAAAAAAATATTCATTTATTTATCCAAAATTATGTTATCCCCTTCAAAATAATCCCCCTCTGATACAATGCACTTGTGCCAGCGCTTTTTCTAGTCGTCAAAACACTTCTGAAATGCACTTTTATTGCCTTGAGCTCCTCCAGCGATGCAGCCTTAATCTCCTCAATCGTCGCAAATCTTCGTCCTTTCATGGGCCTTTTCAATTTTGGGAAGAGGAAAAAGTCGCAGGGGGCCAGTTATAACCCTTTTGAGCAGATCAGGATCATCATTGACGTCGTTTAACATGTCTTGGGCGATGTTCATGCGATGCTGCTTCTGATCAAAATTAAGCAGTTTTGGAACGAATTTCGCTGACACACGTGTCATACCCAAAACATCCGTTAAAATTGATTGGCATGAACCAAACGATATGTTAAGATCATCAGCTACTTCTCTAATAGTGATTCGACGATTTTTCAACACAATTTCTTTCACTTCCTGAACATTTTCGTCGATTTTTGACGTGCTGGGGCGTCCAGAGCGAGGTTCATCGTTAACATTTTCTCGGCCCTCTTGGAATAACTTATACCATTTATAAACATTTTTTTTGCTCAAAGTTGACTCACCGTACGCCACTGTCAACATTTCAAGAGTTTTTGAACACTTAATATCATTTTTTACACAAAAATTAATACAAACTCTCTGCTCCATTATTTTCAACAGCAAAAAATCGCCGAGCACGCAAACACGAGTCTAACCTTTATGCCTCTCACATAAAAACAACACATGTTATATAGTCAAAACTGTGAACATATGATCGTGACGAGTGTACCAACACAACAACAAAAAATTTTGAAATTAGAGTGTACAGAGCGCGCGAAATTCAAAGAGTCACCTTACTTTTTGATCACACCTCGTACACAATATTTAAAAGAAATATTATCACCATAGGACTTGGTTAGGAGGAGTGACTGTGTGCGTACGTGGGTTTGTTGCAGTGCGTAATTAGATATAAGTTTAGTAAGTAGTTAGAGTAGAAAATAAGGTAAGAAGGCGAGAATTGGACGAATAGGTAGAAGAGTAAGCTCAGGAAATAAAGGTAGGATAGGTGGTGAGGTAGGAAGGGAAATAAAGCAAGGAGAAAAGGTTGCGGAAAAGGTGAGGTTATGGCGGGAAGAGGTACAGAAACAAGCAGAGTGAGTAGGTTAGGGAAGAGTAGGAAGGAGGAGAATCAAAAGATGTTGGAATTCAAAGGAAATATGGAGAAGGAAAAGAAAAGTGTGATTTTCGAAGGTGAAACGGCGGAAAAAGATAAGGGTAAAAGTACAAAGAAAGTGTAGAGTTTAGAAAAGATAAAAGCGGATTTAGTGGATAGGCTAACAATTGAAATAAACGAGTGGAAAAAAGAAAGAAATAGACAGATGGAAATAATAGAGGAATGGAAAAAGGAAAGAAAAAGGCAGAATGAAATAATGGAGGAGTGGAAAAGAAAGGAAATGAATTGAGAAATAAGAATGAGAGTGATAGAAGAAAAGTTTAGTGAGATAGAAAAGGAAATTAGAGACATAAAAGAAAAGGTGGAAGAGGATGAAAGCCACAGATCAGTGAGAAAAGAAGAAATAGACTGGAGAAGTAAAGTAGGAGGTAGTAGCTACGCAGGATCTGTCACGTCAGGGGTAAGCGTTGGTAGGTTAAGTGTAAGAGAGGTGGGAAAACTAAGGAACTGGATCTCGTACAAGGAAAAAGAAGAGAGAAGGAACAATATAGTAATAAAAGGAATTAAGGACGCAAAGGAGCTGAAACAAATAAAGGAAGATCCAAAGAGATGGGCAAGATTTTTCCTAAAAACGAAGTTAGGATTGGACAGTATGGTGGGGTGGGGAAGAGTGAGCAATCAAGTAATAATTGTAGGGCTGAACAGTGAAGAAGAAAAGAAAGAGGTGATGAGAAACAAGAATAAATTAAAAGGTGAAAATATATATATAGAGAACGATCTAACATGGGAGGAGAGAAAGATACAGGAAAGAATATCCAGATGGGCCAAGGAAAGGAGAGGAAAAGGTAAAGAAATAAAAATAGGCTTAGGTAAGGTAAGGATAGGAGGTACATGGAAGCTATGGAGAGAAATTGAAAAGGAAATAGAAGAAGAAGAAGAAAGGACAAGCACAGAGGTTGGAAAGAAAAGAGAGCAGTGGAGGGAGGAGAGAGAGGTGTAGAAAGCACAAGAGAGGAAAACTAAAGAGAGGCCAAGAAGAGGAGAAGAAAGAGAAAATGAATAAGAGGAAAGGTATACAAAAAAGAATATTATTTTGGAATGTTGCAGGATTAGGAAGTCAGGATGTAGAGTTTTGGAATTTTGTAAAGGAGTACGACTACATAGGACTATGTGAGACATGGCTAACAGAAAAAGGTTGGGAGAATATAAAGAACAGACTACCAGACTCACACCAGTGGGAGAGCAGCCATGCAATGAAGAAAAAAGGAAAAGGTAGAGCGATAGGAGGCCTAGTCGTTGGAATAAGAAGAGATTGAAGAGGAAAGGAGTGGGAAAGGATGAAAATAGGATATGATATTATAATACATATGAGAACAAAAGAGGTAAATGAGAACCTGAATATTATACTAATGTATAACAACAGAAACAGTGGTAAAGAGGTTGCAGAAATAATCACAAAGGTAATGAAAGAATTTGAAAAGGAAAGATTAATTTTTGGAGGTGATTTTAATATTAGGATAGGAAATTTAGGAGGAGATGAAGGAGAAGGAGGAGTGGAGAGAAAAAGTAAGGACAAAATGATAAGTAATGGAGGTAGGAAATTCATAGATAGTATGATAGAAAATGGTTTGAATGTACTAAATGGTAGGACTAATGGAGATTGGGATGGAGAGTTTACCTATGTAGGAGCAAGGGGTAGTACAGTAATAGATTACGTGTTTGTAAATGAGCTTATATAGTTGATAAGGTTACAGAATTCAAGGTTGAGGAGAGAGTGGACTCAGATCATATGCCGGTGTGTATGAAGATGGAAGAAACGGAAGAGGAAGAAGAAAGAGACGGCAGAAGAAAAATGAAGCTGAAAAAGCAAGAGAAGAAGATAATTGAAAAAAAGAGGATATGTTGGGACCCAGAAGCAATAGAAAAATATAAAGCCAAAACAGAGGAAATAGGTTGGACAGAGGAGCAGGAAAGGATAAGCCTAGATAGGAAATGGAATAAGTTGAAGAACTTAGTACAAGAAGCGATGACAAAAAAAGTTTATAAAATAAAGAAAAGGAAGATAGGTCACAAGGACTGGTGGGACAAGAGCTGCACAATGAGAAAAAGAGAGGTAAAGAAAACATATAGGAAATGGAGAAAAGGTGTAGTGAGGAGAGAAGTTTATATTGAACAAAAGAAAAGTCTGAGGCTACACTTAGATAAAAAAAGGAAAGAAAAATGAGATGAAGAGGAAAAAACTCTGAGAAAGCTGAGAACGGAATCAGAAGTGTGGAACTTCATAAATAAAAAAAGAAAAAGAAGAGAATGGAAGGAAGCTAATATAAACTTAGAGGCATGGAGAAGGCACTTCATGAAACTACTAGGAGGTGAGGAGAAGAAGAGGGAAGAGGAAGAGGAAGGGACGGATGAGGTAGTGAGGGAAAATCGAGGAGAGGATGAAGAACAACCGGAAGAATTGGAACAAAGAGAGGAACCAAGAGAAGAACCAATAGAAGAAGAAATAATAAAGGCGGTCAGAAAGGCAAAAATGAAGAAAGCTGCGGGAATCGACGGTATCCCCATGGAAGGGTGGAGATACGGAGGAGAGGCAGTAAAGAAGGGTCTGACAAAGATAATAGAGGAGGTTTGGAAAAGTATGAAGATTCCAGAGGAATGGAGGAGGAGTATCGTGGTGCCAATATACACAAGAGAGGTAATCAGGAACAGGCAGAGAATTATAGAAAAATATCGCTACTATGTACAGCTTATAAGATATATGCAGAGATAATAAGAGAGAAATTAGAAAAGGAAGTAGAAGAAAAAGACTTGCTGCCGGAAAACCAAGCAGGCTTCAGAAAAGGAAAGTCTACTCTAGACAACATATATGTGCTGAACCATGTGGTACAAAGGGAAAAGGAAAAGGAGGGAGGAGAAAGGAAAGTATATGCACTGTTCATAGACTTAAAGGCGGCGTTTGATAATGTGGACAGAGAAAAGCTGTGGAAAATACTGGAAAAGAAAGGAGTAAGTGGATTGATAAAGAGAATGAAGAATATTTATGCTGAAACGGAGGTAGTGGTCAGAACAGAGAAAGGTCTAACTAAGAGCTTCATGGTTAACAAAGGTGTAAGGCAGGGATGTGTCCTGAGTCCCACCTTATTCAATCTTTACATAGCAGATTTGGAAGAGGAACTAAGAGACAGAAACATAAGAGGGGTAACTATAGGGAAGCATAGGATATGGTCCCTAGCATATGCGGATGACATTGTTTTGCTGGCGAAGAATGCAACAGCGCTTCAAGATATGATGGATACAATGAAGAGATTCTTAAAGGCAAGAAGACTCGAATTATGTACGGAAAAAACGAAGCTAATAGTTTTTAACAGCGCAGGTACAAAGAACGTAGATAGGATTTTGTGGAACGATAAAGTTATTGAAAAGGTAAAGAGCTTTAAATACCTCGGCTTTATATTTAATAGGAAAGGAAGTTACGCAGATCACATAAAGGAAATAGGTAGAAAAGGTAGAATAGCGGCAAATAAAGTCTGGGGTTTAGGAGAAAGAATTTGTAAAAATGATTTCCGGAGGAGATGGATGCTATTCAGATACTTAGTGATAAGCGTGATGTCGTATGGGGTAGAATTATGGGGGTGGGAAGAGAAAAAGGAATTAGAAAAGATAATGTTGGATTATGTTAGGTGGGTTTTTAGGTTAGACTTCTGTACGCCGAGATACTTGTTAAGGAGAGAGCTGGACTTAGGAAAACTAAAGATAAAGTGGGGTACAAGAGCGGTCAGATATGATATGAGAGTCAGAGATTTTGAAGAAAACTCCTTGGTAAAGAAGTGCTGGTGGGAGAAAAGAGATTTAAAAAGGAAAGATCTTTACAGCAAAGAGAAGGAAAGATATTATAACAGTAAAGGATGGAGTGTAGAAGCAATAGAGGAAAGCTATAAAGAAGGAAAAGATGTAGAAAGTATGATGATAGAAAGGGAAAGAGACATGCAAAAACAAATGGAAGAAGGAAAAATAAGAGAGGCAAGATATAACAAGAGATACAAAGAGTGGAGCATTGATATAGGTAAACCCAGATATCTCCAGAAAAAGTACATAGACGATATAAAGATAGGCGATCAGGTTAGAGCTCTGATGAGAGTGAGATGTGGAAACATGGAGGAAAACAACAAATACTGGAGGGAGGAGGATGAGAGAAGATGTATATTCTGTGAAATAGGTAAAGATGAGCTAGAACACTATGTAGATGAGTGTAGGTGTACAAAGGAATGGTTTATAAGTTTAGGCGCGGATAAAAAGGAGAGATTAGATAGGATAGGGGATGATGATTTAGAGAAGAATAAAGGAGAGATTCTGGAGAAATTATGGAAGGAAAAAGAGAAAAGAAAAAGGGAATTGGAAAGAAGGAATCAAGAGATAAGAGGAAAGAGTTCTCAAGACTTAGAGTAGGAGCAATGTAATATAAAGATTAATAAATATTTTGTGACTTAGATGTGTGTGTGTGTGTGTGTGTGTGTGTGTAGGTGTATATATTCAGAGTAACTTAGGATAAAGATAAAAAGAAAATAGAATAAAGATAAAATAAAATAAAAAATAGAGAAAGAGGAAATAGAAATAGGAAAAAAGAAGAAGAAAAAAGAGAAAAAGAAAAAGAAGGCAAAAATGTAAAAAGGCAAGGTAAAATGTAAAAAGGCAGAAAAGAATAAAGGTATAAAGGTATTTAAATGTAATTAAGGCGAAGGCTAAATTGGGTTATGATTTAAGTTAATTTATTTAACGCAATTTAATGTAATTTAACGTGATGGGAGTGGAGATAATGTAAAGGAATTGTAAAGTAAATGTAAATAAGCGTGAAATAAGTGGTATGTAACGTATGGATCGTATGGAAGAATGTGTGTGAGTAGACTTTTTGTAACCAAGTCCCCTTCTTGGCCATATAGGCTGAAGTGTCTAAATAAATTATACTATATTATCACCATATGTAAACAAAGAAAACTTTCTTTTAATAATAGATTCGTGGTCCGGTCAAACTAATCCTGCATTGTATGACGAAATTTTTCTTGATGATGACAATGCAGGAATATGTATTATTAAGTTAATGAATTAATTACATTCGAACCAATGAATGAATATAAGGCCTTACGAGCCGTTCTCAAAGTGTTGAGCGAGAACTTATACATGTATATATATATACGTATACACATGTAACGAATTCACTTGTAAATTTTTACAAGTGAGTTTTTCGAATTGAAATCTCAATTCTTAAAATCATACGGGATGCTAGATTTGCATAAGAATATTGCGAGACTAACTCCAAGTGCCTCGGTGGCCTAACAGGGAAGGCGATGGCACGGTAAGCCGGAGATTCCAGGTTCGACTCCTGGCCGAGGAGTTTTTTTCGCAATATTTTAATAATTAGTTAGGGGGGTATC